TTATTTTCCTTTCTAACCTGTAGTGCTCTTGCTCCAGGGAAGCTCTACCATCATCTCCAGATAGTTGCGGGTGAGGGCATGCTCTGGCATGGACTGTGGCATCTTTTTTAATCTGTGTAAAAAAGAAGAAAAAAAAACATTCTCTGAGAGTAGGGTAGATGAGGAAGAAATCCTGGGAGGAACCATTTTGGCAGGGGGAGCCATTCATGTTTTATTAATTAAAATATTGATTAAACTGTAAAGAAATTGACTTCTTTGCAATACATTTAAAGACAACAGAACAGATGCGGGCACTGGTCAGCGAAAAGTCCCTTGCCGTCTAACACGTAGCTAACCATGAAATGTGGTTTCCTCTAAAAAAAATTACCAGAACGTACCGTTTTAGCTCCTTGAGACACACACGCAGTGCTGCTTCCGGCATAGCTGCTGCCTTCACCTTCTTCTCCAGCATAGCCGTGTCATCTCCATCTTCATCCTCTGCCTCCTCATCCAGTGAGAACTGACGGCCTGGGAACACACCACCTTTACGGATGGCCAACACCTAGGAGAAAGAAGAAGGACTGTGTAATAGAACAGGACGTGTGGAGGAGGGTGTTTGTGAGGCAGAGGAGAAACACATGTTGGCCTACTCTCTTGTCATCGTCAGGTCTGCGTTTGCGGGTCTTTTGCAGCAACTTGAGCCCCTCAATTTGTCTGGTGAGCAGAGGAAGAGCCTTCTTAAACCGTTCTTCCAAGTCTACTGCATCCAGCACCTGCCAACAAACAAAAATATTAAAATAAAGGCATATTTAGTTGTTGTATGATCACACTAGTCAAATCATTTAACACAAACAATAACCCTTTTTACTGCAGCACCTGCAGTTTCTCTTTGTTGGAAGTGCGGATCATGGAGGCCAGGACATCCGGTAGGGTTTCTCTGGGCAGACTGTCCAACAGCCTCCTGAGTTTAGCCACCACAGGCACTGACATGTCCAACATCCCAACCAGCTGGACAAAGAGAGACCAGACGACACTGTCAATACACTGAATGAAAAGCCTACATGCAATGAATCATCCTGCAGCATCTGGCAAAGAATGAAGCCTTTATATTCATTCAGTGTTTAAATGATGACTCACTCTATAGATGAATGATGCCAAATGGGAAAAAAACTCACAATCACATTCATCTTTTCTTCAGTCATGAAAAAATGATGTCCTTGATTATTACTATTGTTCATATCTCTTAGCAATATCTTTTTTGAAAACTTTGGATGCCATTTAAGAACCTTTTTTATTTAAATTGTAGTCCATCACACAACAAATTTATCACATTTTCAAGATGGATATTTTTGCTGTTAAAACAAAAGAAGTGTTTGGTAAAAGTAGGTAAGTGACCTGATTGGTTACCGGAGATCTTGAGAAAGAGACAAGATTATTGATTGACTTATTATTTATGCATTTATTTATTTTAGTGCTGTCAAATGATTAATCGCGATTAATCACATACAAAATAAAAGTTTTTGTTTGCATAATATATGTGTGTGTTCTGTGTATATTTATTATGTGTATATATAAATACACATACATACAGTATATATTGTGACAATATTTACGTGTTTTTACATGTCTATATTTATATTCATATAATTTATATTATAAATAAATATATTTAATATATAAACATAACATTTTTCTGAAATATATACATGCATGTGTGTGTATTTATATATGCATAATACAGCACTAATTTATTTAGACATTTATGTTACAAATAAATGTTATGTTATGTTGAACTTTCTATTTATCAAAGAACCCTGAAAAAAATGTAACATAGTATTCACAGAAATATTAAGCAGCACAACTGTTTTGTTCACTGGTAATAATAAGAAATGTTTCTTGAGCACCAAATTAGCATATTAGAATGATTTCTGAAGGATCATGTGACAATGAAGACTGTAATATCTGTTGGAAATGTAAGCTTAGCCATCACAGGAATATATTACATTTTAAAAATATATTACAATAGAAAAAAAAGCTATTTTAAATTGCAATAATATTTCACAATATTGCTGATTTTACTGTATTTTTTATCAAATAAATGCAGACTTGGTGAGCGTAAAAGACATCCTTCAAAAATATTTAAAAGTTTTAACATTATATTATATTACACAAAGGTGTATCAAATGAATAATATCTGTGATTTCAGGACACTGTGGTAATAACCTGGCATTTTTATAGACTATTAACAGAATCATAACATAAACAAAAACGCAGGTTCCTTTACTCCTGACCTGTACAGCCGCCTGATGGAACCTCAGTGACAGCTCCCCCAGCTCTCCATCAGCCTGATCTCCCTCTGTGTACTGCTCCAGTTTGTCAAGCTGTTCCACCTCGGCCACGGGGAAGGGTCTCTCTCTCAGCAGCTGGGTCACACGAAAACGACACAACCCCGTAATGAGCAATGTGTAGTGCGGTTTTGGCCAATTGCTGCCCACAACCTGGACTGCCAGTCCTGCTGTGCCAATACTGAGAAGACAGAAGTACAAATTAAAGTAATGAGCCCTGAGTTTTGTTTCCTATCAAATCTAATTTATGATATCTGAGTAGGTTTTATGACAACCCTGCCATCTAACAGAGGCACCAAACATTCTGAATAATGATTATAAATAAAAACAATAATTTTATAACTCAATATTCTATCTTGTTTCTATTTAAAATTCTTCTAGACATTGAAATTGTGTATTACAAAAGCTAAAATGAGTTAATGTACACATATTATGTACTGCATATTGGAAATTCTGGCCGTGTGTTAAAACCTATTAAGCTGCCAACCAAGACAGTATCACAATCTGGCTTGGAAATGCTTTCATGATTATTGGATAAGTATTTAAAAAAATATAGAGATTGCTGGGGAGGATCTCCATTTTGTATGGAGGATATATGGCTTTCTAAACCACCATGCAGAGCATAGCCAGAGAACTTTAAATTTGCTATAACATTTCTATGACTGTTGACATTTTATATTTATATATTTACATAACATTTACAAGCTCGGGCTTTTTTATATTCTCTTATATTTTCTTTTTTACTTCGAGACAGCCATTGGTTGCTGACAGAGCATAGCAGACTTGCAAGGTTAAAGTCCAACTGCTGCTCAAACGAATATTCTAGTAAACAAACATTGCTGCTAGTAGTCTGTAACATAAGGAAATACATAAATAAACAAGAATGCAACTACACATTCTGAGGGTAAAGTTCAGTGAACATAAAATAGTATCTGCCACGCTTGTCAGTCCTCACCCTAACAAACATTAACGTTACCATGGAAAACAAAAGTTCTGGGAATATGCAAAAGTGACACATTATAAACCTTTACAATACAATAAAAGTTACTCATTGTTTTTTATCATAAAATCATAACAAATGACCTCCTTCAAATGGTTTCATAAGGAAACTCAATGACAGTTGCCTCACACTGGTTCTGCAGCGGGTTTGGCCGTCTCTGACAGCACAGACCCACCTATGTAAGGACGGGAGCTCATCGCTGTCGTGCACGGGGTCTCTGGTGTTAGGAATAACCCCGATGATGGTGCTTTTTAGCGAGGTGCCCTTCAGCAGTCTGCTCTTGACTAACTGCATGTTTCTCGCCGTGTCGACGCTGATTCTCATGGTCGAGCCCGGTAACAGCACTCCATCATCAGTGCACAGCAAAGGCAGCCGGCTGGGGATTTGAATACCACTATTGGATGACATTTTGTAGGGTTTGGATAGACCTTTCAAGTTTAAAACTACTAATCGCAGTGAACTAAGGTGCAAGGAACGCCTTCATCGCACGACAAACTGGGGCAAATGAAAACAGGAAGCTGGAACTACGACAGGTGCAGTAGGACAATCTTGATGTGCAAACGGAAACGCCTACTTTTTGTGAAACCACGCAGAATGCAGCCAAATGTACACTGTGTTCTCTCTCTTTGTACTGTGTTCACTTAAATATGCTTTGGAGACTCGGGAAAATTTGAGGCGGTCGGGCCGGGGTCCATTAAAGGGGCTTCATTAAACTTCAAATTATTAAATATACTAAAACAATCTAAGATAAATGCCTGAAAACGCTAAAAAATAAAAATAAAAATAAAAATGTACAATATGTAAACTTATTTCATATTTTAATTTGTCCCCACAACAATTTTTTTAATTGATTTGTAAAAATTCTAAACTCACAGAGTGACTATTCTATTCTATTCTATTCTATTGACAGTCCTGGTTTCTGTTCTACTTGCTGTACCAGAGGAAATAGCTTAAACTACAAGGGATATATTGAGACTTGAACAATGGGGATGTCCCCTTCTTGCTTCAAAAATGTTGAGAACCACTGCCTTAGAGGACCTTAATGGTCCTGCTTATCACAGGGCTCAGGACCAGTGTTAATGTAATATTATTTATATACTATTATAATATAATATTTTATATTACCTTTTAATTTTAGATTTTCAGATTTCATTTTAATTTTAGTTTGTGTTTAGTATGTGCTTTTGTTTTTACTTATTTTAATTACATTTTATTATTATTATTATTTTAAATATTTCTATTTAGCTTTTTATTTCTGTTTTAGTTAAACTTTTATTTCAGTTAGTTGCCAGGCAACGCTTATGTTTAGTTTAAATTTGTAAAGTTTTTCACCTATTATTTATTATATTTTATTTTAGCTTTATTTCAGTTAACAAAATTTTACGTTTTTGCTTTTAATAGTTTTCGCAACATAGCAACATACTCATTTTGTTTTCTGTTTTTTCCTTTAAAAATATTTTTTTTTCTTTTAGGTTTAGTCTACAGTGCTTATTATTAGCTTTATAAAATAATTTAGCAAATGTCATTACCTCCATATAAAAATAATTGTATTTTATGATGTTGTCACTGATATAGTAAAGCCAGCAGGTACTGTATGTGTGTGAAAGGTGAGAGTGTGTTTGTAAAGAAACCAAACCCATATCTTCAAACAAACCATACATCTGAACACGTGGGGGTGATAGTGGGAGGTTTATTTTCCAAGCCATGTTACAAAAGTTACCAGAACATTCTGTGGCAAGAGTCCAAATAAATAACCTAGATTAAAATCTGTGTATAAAACATATGCAAACTTGATATCAAACCCTCTTGATCACCTTAAAAAAAACTTTTTATAGACATGCTTTGGTGCAATCTTTCAACATTTGACCAGCAGTAAAGCACAAAGTAAAGAGCCTCTGGGTAAAAGCAACAATGCCGACTAAGCCAGCAGTCAGCAGAACATTTGCATGCAAATGATATGTGTACAAAAGAAGCTCCACGTTTTTTATACATCTTATCTAAATCTTACCAAGAACATTTACAACGTGGCAATGATAATACACTGTTTTGGCATACATCAAGGACAAAATATGGATTTTCCTCAGAAATATAAGTCACAGTGGCAAAGACTTTTTTGGAATTACCAATTGTAAATGCTACAGCGAAGAGTCAAAGCTGCTCTCCTCCACAGAGCACACACACAGTGCATACATGATTGTATATTAGCTAAATGCCACATAAATATGCAAGTTGGCAGGCAGGTGAATGGAGGTATGAATGTTCTGAATGATGGAGAGCAATAGCTGCAGGGTCAGTAGGGTGTCTTCCAACTGGTGTGACGGCCGTTGCATTTTTCCATATGGGTAACACCGATGGAGGCAGTCAGTGACTTCACTAGGACAAGAGGCACACAAGCATGCTGCGTGTCACTACATAAACTGGGTAACACCCTTTTACACCTACACCAGCAACACGAAGACAGGATCAGATCCGTTTAGATCTGCTGCTATGTAGTTTTCTTTCCTTTCCTCCAGTTGAGGACTTCACAATCTAGAAATTAACAAAGAGAAATAGTACAGATAAGTGGTCACATATTTTAATGTCACATCTAAAGATGAGTTGCTCATTAGAATGTCTGGATGAAATTAAGATAACCCTCAAAAGAAAGGCTCCAATTCTTTTGCTCTTCAAAAGAATCAATCAAAAAAGAATGGTTATGTTGATACTAATGATTTTCATGTTCAGGGTTACCACCGTAACACCATTTCACAAAAAATTTGGTAGAAGGCACAGATCAGGCATGTTCAGGCTAGTAACAACATGTGGGCTTTCTAAAGTACTTTACATCCTTCAGACAACCTCAAAGCCTGAATCATGCCACCATCGCATTCATCATGGAGGGGATAAAGACGTTGATTCAATCCCCTAGCAGTTTTTCTCATTCACAAAGGCTTATGGTCGACCACAGACTCACATCAACAAACAGCAAAAGTTTCCATCTTTTTGCTACTGTGTGCATTCATTTTGGGATTGCATGAGGTTATCAACAAACATTTGGCAGACCGGTGGAAGAACCCGTCTTGAGGTTGGACTCCAAAAATTCCCCAATCCTTTCCAAGTTGTAGCAATCATTTTAGATGGACCTCAACTGTCTTACCTCAAACCCTAAAAATACCAATGAGTAAGTGCCATAATTCCCCAAAAATTTCCAGATCCCAAAAACACGTAGTCTGTGTTTTGTGGAATTGATTCAGTGGACCTTTACCCAGGTGAAAAACGTAACCAATCAATGTTTAGCAGATCAATATATTGTCTACAGTACCATAAATGTAAAGAAAGCAGGTTCCATTAATATATACCATTGTACTATTTTCACTTACAATCATAATTGTCGTCCTCTTTTGAGAAGCACTCTTTGAACAGGCAAAGCATGGTCCGATAACAGTTGTCCAGTATTGACTTGGGTGTAACAGACTTCCATCCCTCGTAATATTGGTCTGTCAAGCGATCCCAGATGTTTTGTATTCTCTCTGGAAGTACTCTCTTTTTTGAAACAGGTACAAAGACACACACATTTAGATTATTATGATCTTAAATAATGGGAATATATCACTCAAATGACAAATAACATCAGCAACACGGATTGGACAGATTCAAAAGGTCAAATTGAGTTTTATTAAAACTAATGCTTGTATTCAAGAGAGTGAGCTTAGAGATACTGTAAGCAGTGGCAATGACAGCCAGAATGATTTATAATGTGCTGCTGTTAAGAAAAGAGAAATCACATCATTGTTCTAACCTCTTCATCTATGGGGCTCTTTTGGTTATAAAGCTCCTCAAAACGTCTGAAGAGATTCTCCAGTTTGGAGAGGTATTTACTGCGTGTAGGATGTCTCTCTGGCAGCACCCTTAAAACCCTCTTTATCCCCTGCTGACTAACCCAAAGCCACAAATCCTGTAGATCTCTCTGCTGCACTGGCTCCTCTTCATTACTCATATTCTAGAGAACAGAGTGAGAGATGAACAAGATAAGAAAGAGGGAATGAGAAGAAGAGGAACAGTATAAGGAAATGTTCAATCATATTAGAATTGTTGTGCTTTATAGGCATGTATTTTTTTTTTACAATGTCAGAGTCCCGTAATGTTAGTTAGGTCTAAGGTCACAGGGTTTATGCCAGGTCAGGTCAAATTCGGTTCAGAATATATATATAATATATATGTGTGTGTGTGTGTGTGTGTGTGTGTGTGTGTGTCTGTCTGTCTGTCTTACCAAGAACATTGTTAGCAGATACCAGGAACAAAATGCTATAATTTTCCAAATGTTTTGTATATTCCCTATTTTTTAATAGCAGTATACAATATAACATGGGGGGTTAAGAACTTATAGCTCTTAAAAAACGTTCTTGTATTTCTTGTATTCAGTCCATTATAAAAACTACCTAGATGATTCTTCTATTACATATATATTGTTTGATATATCTCTATCTGTTCTTTTATCCATTTTATATAATACTGTAATACAATCATTTACTTTATTCTGCATTGCTCTATTTATTATTATTATTATTATATTTTAGTGATCTAGATATGTCTAAACAGGTTTTGTGAGATTCACCCCTGTATTTTTTGCAAATGCTGAGTCACAGGCCTTGAGAAGCCCTAAAACTGTAATTCCAATCTGACTCTATTATAAGTCACGAGTCTTAAATATCTGGCAATAGGTGACAAACAGGAAAAATGAGCTAATTTGTGTGGGAAGTTGCGAAGAGTGTGGCTTTAAGTGAGTCAGAGTGTTGGTTGGGGACAGTGGGATAAAGACTTACCAGCCTGCTGATGTTACGTAGTCTGAATACCTCTTCATAATGCACTTGAATAGTATAGTTAATGGGAAAGTTCATTTTCTGTAAATATACATGTAAAACCTTTTATTGACATGTCATTCATTCTGTCTCATGCTATATTAAGTTGTAGCCTATATTTGTCTTTTTTCCCCATGTAAACTTAACAAAAGCCTAAAGCCTACAACTTTTAAAATATAACACTATAGTTTCAAAAATTAAACATATGTTTACCATAAAACGTCTCCTTAGGGTTGCATTTAGGCTGTCCCGTACTGTTTTCAGAGATACACAGAGATCTGGTGCTGCACTCATGCAGACTGGTAATAGACAAATAAAACCTAGAAGGACAGAAGAAGAAAATAATGGCTTTTAACATAATGCCATTGCCTATAATAAAAACCATCATGAAATGATTGTTGTTGAACTTCAAATGATTTTATAGGTAATCAAAAAGTCTGTTTTAAAGTTACATTTATTCAAAAAAGGTTTGAAGATGCAATATATATTGCAATATATATTAAAATTTACTGATTATAATAATGTCAGTATTTACTTTCAGTTTTTGCTGAGTTTTGTGCAAAATGTCGCATTGACTGGTGCAATGTCTCTTTGAAGGCAATGACTCATAAAGTTGCATAGATAGAGTTAGAGCTGTGACAAAACCTCAAACCACAGCCCAATTTACAAGGAATAAGGTGTTGTTTTTTAGGTTTATATTAGCACTCCTGCAAAAGAAAATCTCTGAACATCTTCCATCAAAAACAAAAGCCAAAAATTTAAAAGCCATAATTCCACAACACAAGATCTTCTGCAGTCTACATGTGGTAAAAAGCAGGATGAATATTATGCATGAGATTATTGGAGCTCTTCAAGAAGATAAAGTCAAACTCAAGCAGATTAACTGTGGCAGTAAAGCTGAGGCTGATCCTGTGTCTATTTTAACTGGAGATTTTATTGTTAAAGATAAGTGATTCTGACTGGCTAGCCCAGGGCGGAAAGACAAGGCACCGGCAGTCATCTGTCACTTTGCTGTGGATCACAGTGCGGTTGGCCTCTGTGGTTGAGCTGCACTATAGGGCAGTTACCCAGAGACTGACAGTCAGCAAAGTCTCAGAGACCATGAAGCAGACTTCCGAGGGCCAGAGGAATTTGTCATGCCACAGAACCTGGACTATTTACTGGTGTCCAACCACTCAACCCCCACCTCCCGTCAAAGTTATTCTGGCTTTTTTGGCCTGGTATCCCCCTCTTTGCCCTCTCTTTTACCTTATGCATCTGTCTGTCTCTCTTCTCTCTCTCTCTCTCTCTCTCTCCTGAACACAGGAAGTGGTGACATTATCAGTCACGTCTTAGTTCTTCAATAGCAGCACCACATGCAGTAGCTTTCCTCAAACATATGTTCAGCTTGACACTCATTTCAGAAGAAACAAGAGACCAGATACGCAAATGTCACACTTAGTAAACTGTTTCTCTCCTCTTAGCTGAGGAAGTAATAAATCATTAAGTTTTTCTGTATAGGGCCATTGAAAAAATATTTATGTCTAGCACTGTCACATCCAAATTTCCCATGCACACAAATTAAAATCTTCAGTGTCCTCTTTATTATACAACTTAAATCACTTAATTACTAGTCTTTACTTACCCAGCAGCCCCCTGAGGAGCCGGCATTCAGACTGTACCATGGTTCTGCTTATTCTCTGCTTGCACTGTAATATGGGTCTAAATTCCAGAAAATTCTTCTGTCTTCTTGGTCTTTAAAACAAACAAACAAACAGAATAGAGTCAGAACAAATATCACACTAGAATTTTGACTGCCATTACATGACTTTCTGTGCATACAACTACCTTTCTAAAATCTCTTGCTGGACAAAGAGAACCAGGGATGACACATCTGAATTCATTTACTCTCCTTTTGGATGGTAAAATATTTAAATATCCAAAGAAAGACTGATCTGGCATATCTGATTTTAATGGCAAAAAAGTTGTAAAAAAAAAAACGTGAAGCAGGGAAAGGGAACACTGCTCATCTGGGCTGGAGCTTTGTCATAATGTTCCTCTGTTTTTCTTCTCCAGAGCTTGTGCAGCTGTGTAAAACAAATCCAGATGTTGTCTCTTTTTGCTTCTTTCGAAAGGAAAAATTAAAATTCCTTGTAATCCTAAAGGGAATATAATGTCTTGGCATAGCAAGTTTGTGACTAATAGACATGTGATGAACACGAGGGGCAGAATGTACGTATTAAAAAAAAATTGTGGCTTTGTCAGAAATGTCTTAATATTATTTTTTTGATATGAAAAAATTATCATTACACATAATACAAATGTGGATCTGTAAAGCAAAACCACATGCAGGAAGAATCTATGAAGTACAGAATATGAGCCAGAACAAATCATATCCTTTATGTCTTCTATCATATCCTTTGTCATCTTCTATCTGACATAATATTTTAACTATTATTCTACTAGATTTTTTTATTTCGCAATGTTAATTTTCTCTGCACTGATCAAAACTGATTTTTCTCTCCTAATCTAAAGCCGATTTTGTCTGTTGAAAAAAAGATTGCTGCATACATACATTTCATAATGTTGTTTTATTAATACAGCGTTCTTTATTTAAGCCAGCTTTTTAATGGTATATTTGCCATGTGTATATGTGCATCATTTGCCAACTAAGGCCAATATTCTGGTTATGCTTTTAAAATAAACTTCTGGAAATACTAGAGAAGTCAAATCATCAATTCTCATTCATGTTTTTTCAAAAATATTTTATACAACACCAATATTTTATAAAATAAAAACCACCTAGGATTCCCTATATTTGGACAAACACAGAAATAAATGAATGTTCAGTTCGAATATGATGTTGAATTGCCCAAAATTCAGATTATTTCCATTCAATGGCTTATTCAGATTTAGAAACTGCTACTGCTGGAATATTGGTTTAATTTATGGCAGTCAGGTTAATACATTTATATGACGCGAAGAAGAAGATGAAGAAGACGATATAAGAACATAAGAATATGACCAAATTCTGATTCATATCCGAATTTTCTTGTGCATGTAAACGCAATGAATGACTGTGGTTCAAAAATAAATAAAGATAGTAAAAATTAAGGAAATTAGTAAAAATAAAAATAATGTATATAAAAAAATGAAAGTAGGCCTATCATTAAAACAATACATCATGCATCATGAATGCAATGACAGTTCATAAATTATGGTTATAATTCACGCGCTCGCAATCGACTTGACATAAAACTGTTGATGTAGGCTATCAGTTATATTTTGGTGTCAGAACATGTTGCAGATTCACCTGTTATCTAATCAAATCAAATCAAATCAAAAGCGATCCGTCAGGTGACCGCGCTGCATCGTTGGACCTTGGCTTGGATATGAAACGCGTTGGGCTTTATTCCAATAGGCTATAAATCGCATTTACACGCGACACAGTTCAGTAGCACAACGAATATAAATAAGGCACAAACCTTTCGATTCGATGAGCTACGTTGTCTCAATGGGAAACCATCTGCGGAGTACTTTCAATAAACAGCAGTTGTTTGCTTAACCCTGTAGATATGACCGCTGACACTTCCAGGCATGCAGAGTGGGCTACTGACCGAAGTAGTAAATTCGCCCCTTTTTCAATGCAACGTCCACCCAAAAGACCCGGAAACTCCCTTTTCTTTATGTCACCTTTTTATGTTATGTCTATATACACCCGCCTACAGCATTCTCCACTCGAAGGTACCACGAGAATAACACGCTGAGTAAAAGACGTCAGTTGATGAGACTGTTACTTTCACTTTTGGGTCTACATAAACTATTAACTCGTCAGTGACTGGATTTGAATAAAGGTGCAGCGTTTTTGACCTAAAAAAGCGAAGAAACCTTTACTGCTGCCTTTGTATGGCCGCACAACCAATAGAGTCTGATCCCCCTAATGAAAGTTTGAAATGTTGGGGGTCTTAAAATCATTTTTACATATAAGTAAATACATGTGAGCGGTGTTTTCGGAGTCAGAGCGCGCTAAATTTGTAGCAAAAACTGCTCGATAGTCTGTAGCGGTCGGTACATTAAATGAAAAATACGTAGGCCTGCTGTCATTATCACATTATAATACAATTAAATGCAACAAAAAGTATCGAATTTTGTTTAAAAATTCTTTCATAAAGTTTATGTTAACTGGACAAGACAAACATCAGACATCAAACAGAAATTACAGACAAAAAAAAAGACCCACCTGTAAGTCAATAATGCACATATACTGCGCAACATCTGCAGTTTTACGATATAAAGGAGTCAACATTACCCATAAACTGACACTGAAATCGGTTCACCAAAACGAGTTATCGATTAACCGTTAATAACACCTTAAGTATGCCTAATTTAGTCAAGAGGCAGCCAAGCATCAGTTCAAGCGGATGAGTAAACCTCATTCACCCACGCACATTACTAATTTATTCCCTACATTTACTGCGGTTCTGTGGTGACAGGCTTGGCACAGTTGTACACTTTTAGGAATTTCATGACAAAATGTTTTTCGGACTTTAAGCGCCTCATCTCGCAACACAATGGACAGTGGGCATATGGATGACCAACGCACACTGGCCTTGCGCGTCGGATTGCTTTGTTAATGGCCACAATGCCCCTCTTGTTTTGTAGTAACTTTAATATCTTTTTAGGGGCATAATCACTTGACGATAGTGCTATCTATGCTGTCCTAACAAAGGCCAGAGCCACTCAAGACCCAAGAAGACAAACGAGAGGGACATTCCAAGTACCCCACCAAACCATTAAAAAAACTAGTCAAAACACCATCTGTCAACCTAGATTATATCACATCAATATGGAAACCCCCCAACGGAAGAGGAGTGAAAGAAAACTTCTTAATGTGCCTCAAAACATCACCAGGTTTTAAACAACCTCCACAATATCTCAACCTACTTACATGGCCTGACATTACTTTTTTTTATTTTTATTCTTTACCAGTGCAGTCATTTAAATTCAGACCCTAGGACAGTTTTTATGGGTGGGCCCCCATCATCACAGACCCCAAGAGAATATTCCTAGTTCCCCACATGCTTAATAGCACATTCTTGGGATACATTGACAATTTGAGAGTTGTCCAATCATCCAGGCTTGGATTTTGTGACATGAGGATCCAAGATTTAGAGTACAAATTACAAAAATCATAGCCTTCTGTTGGCAGTCAGAAGCAATTTAAGGTTACTGCAATAGTGCAGTGTTACATGTGAGAGATCATAAAACTATTGACTGTAGATGCACACTGAACTGGAACAAGCTCACAGCATATAACTTGTGTTAAGTACTTGCAAAAATTGCGGCCTTCCTCATATTGCTCAATACTACAACTGTATTCCACAGCATGACTGCAAAAATGTGTCTCAAGAAGAACTATTCATGAATTCTTTATTATTAAAGGTGCAACTAAAGTGAAAACTGGACTGTAGGGGGAACGTTGTAGAAAATGGGTTTTCATTTCATTAACATTGTGGGTTCAAGTGTGATCAGGATGTGACTCACTCTAATGGAATACTTATCAAACATAACATCATAGTTTGTCTTCACTATGATATCATGCTCCACTAATTGAAGCAATTGAAATTAGAAAATGACAAAAGAATGATATATGGAATGGAATCCATCACCAAGTACAGTGATATGCACCGTTTAAACTACTGCTGTAATACTTCAAAATAGAACACATTACAAATTCAGTCCTGTACCAATGTAGAACTTGCATCATTCAGGGTTTTAAAAATAACAACATATTTGGTACCTATTTTGGTATGGAGAATCGTTAAAGTTAGCTGTAACTTTAGCCCATGGCAGCATTCAACCTAATGTGAAAGTATCAAGAGAATCACGCTATTAAATACATTACACTAGAAGTGTTGGTCTGTCTCTAAATGACTTTTCAATTCAACAAAAGGTAGGGTGTCAGGTCAACTGCAATCAGATAGCAATCTATGAATAAAAATCCCTTTTTTAATATTTGTTGAAATATTTAAAAGAGCATATTAACTCACTAAGGCTGAATGACTCAATGTCATGAGAAAGATGCATGATCATTATGGGGCTTCACCAAAAAAAAAAAAAAAAAAAAAAAGCCTTAAGAAAACAGTGAAAACCTGCTTTGCCTGTGGGTGCAGTTAAAGACATACAGCATGTCTTGTGACAAACACGGAAATACACGAGAAAGTAAAAAAAAAAATTACAAAAAAAGTTTATTGACATTCTCACACTTCATGACATAAACAGCACTATTTCTTTCAGGTTCCCTGGGGTTGGATGATTATAGCTCTTCAAAAAAAAAAAAAAAAAGTTAAAAACCACAACAGATTGCTGTATCCATGTAGAGACAAAAACTAAAGCTATTTTACAAGTTCACTGTTTTTACTAGAGTGGGAACAGTATTCTAACTTTCAAAAGAGAATTTCAACAGCCAAAATGTGAATGATGGAATGTTTTATGCAGACTGATTCATACAATAAAATGTGGATTCAATTTGCATTATGATAGCTACAAAATTAGTAATAGACATTTTTAAAGTCTACACATAAAAAAAGCCACTCCTGTACACAAGCTGTTGTAGTCCTTTGCCTGAAAACATTCCTCTGAAAAGATGTCACTATGCAACCACTCAATATGAACTAAATAAAACCGATGCTTTGTACTGAGTATAGTACCAATAGTAATTTCAAGCAGGACAAGGTCATTGACCACTGGGACTGTGACAGCTCCCAGCTGGCCCCAGTTAAAGGGGGAACTTCCTTCAGCCTTCACTAAAATGTTGCTCCTATACTTGTGGTAGGAAAGTTGAGACCACAGCCATGGGAGGCCTGGAAAAACAATAAATTTTCTCATGGTGCGCCTGCCAGATGCGAAGATACTAGAAGGCATAGCGTGTTCGGATGTCTTCCAGTTTCTTCGACACCTCTGGAGGCGTGCGGTCCAATTCCTCAGAGACGCTCTTTCTGCTTATGGAGCTCCATGGAGTTAAACTGCTCACAAAGGTCTCCATCGATCACATTCTGGAAGCATACAAGCAAAGTCAGTGAGAAAGATGAGGCCAACCGATGTAGCAAGCTACCCAAATCTCACTTCTTTGCAAAGTGATGGACACTACTTTAAAGATACCACACAAAACATAAGTAGATGATTAAGAACTAATTAGAAACTGTTAATACTAAAGCTGTGATATTAACGGTGTTTGCCCTTACCTTTACTGGAAAATAGTACGAGCGGAAGCTGAGGTGATCACGGCCACACAGAGGGGGAAACTCAGAGCGCATGTGCATCTCCAAGTGCTGGAAGAAGTCATGATCCTAAAGACAGATGAGAAATACATTTACACAATTTAAAAACCTTGTTATTTAATGTTTGATAACTAAAGTTGCACCATACACGTCAGTCTCTACTCTGATGGCCTGAAGTTAAGGAAGTGGCCTGACCTGAGGCCTTCACCTCTTCCGTTTCAGTGGTTTTAGACTTATGAAAGACCATTGCACGTTAGCACTTCTCTAATGTAATTACTGGTTATTGATAATTTAAGGAACTGTACCTCATGAGAGGTGAATGGCACCAGGATGCCAATGCCTCCCGATAGTGTGGTGTACACCAGGGACTCTGATCCTCCAGGGATGAGGGTAGTTTTCTGGAGGGACAGAACCGTCTCTCCTATGTGATAGTTAATAATCACCTCGGCCTGTAATTGACAAAGAAGAAAAAAAGGACAACAGGTATGGATTAAAATGGGGCTTGAGTGTTTTTGCTTGTCATAGTAAAACTGGAGAAAAAAGAAAAAAAAAAAAAGCACTTTATGAAGATTAAGCAATTCACTTCCATATACCAATACCTAGAAAAGTGCATGGTGTCCTCTGCAAGGCAAAGATTAGTAAAGATTGGGGGCAAAAAAAAACCTAATACCATCAGTAATAATAATACTGATAATCAAAGATCATAAATTAGATGTAATCTGTAATACATTTTTAAAACAATTTTACATTTAAAATTTTTTTTTTCAACAACCTAATATACTAAAAATGAATGTAATCATTACATTATAACAAAACCCGTAAGACCTACGTTCATCTTTGGAACACAAATTAAAGGGGTCATATGATGCGATTTAAATTTTTCCTTTCTCTTTGGAGTGTTACAAGCTCCTGGTGCATAAAGAAGATCTGTAAAGTTGCAAAGACTAAAGTCTCAAATCCAAAGAGATATTCTTTATAAAAGTTAAGGGTTAACCACACCTACCTAAAATGGCTCATTCTAACACGCCCCCACATATCTACGTCACTATGTGGGAAGATTTGCATAACACCGCCCAAATGTTCACGCAAAGAAAGAAGGCGTAACTTTTATTCTCGCTGTAGTATTGTTGCTGCCGCCATGTCGTGAAGACGCTGTGTGCTGCGTTGTGAAAGCGAAACTACTTTGTTTGGTCTTCCAAAAGAGGACGATATCCGCTTCGTCATGCCTAGAGCTGATCTGTGCTGGTTGCTGAGGAAATAC